AGTTAGTTATTNCGCTAATGCATGAGAGAGATTTTACCATGTCTTATGGATCCAGGAGATACAAATCTCGCTGTGGGTGCAATCTCGCTGAGGGTGCAACCGCTTTAGTATCATATATAGTGTCTCCGAGGAATCAATAGTGAAAGGGTGGCCACCCACTCTCACACTCATTGAACGAGTCGTCTCGTGCTGCAGTATTCTGCACAGTACTCCACAATCCGCAGTTGCTTTCTTCAAAAACGAAATTCAAAACCCCTTCATCAGAATGTAGCGCGGGCAGTAAGGTACCATGCCTTCTTTACGATCTTTGCGGTGAATATATATATAAATTTACACACAAGCGACCAGGCGGCCCACTACAAACTGTTCCGTGACCGCAAAGGTGCTGTGTTGAAGCTTCTCATTCGCAGCGGAAACCTTGTAACGGCCCTAGAAAAACACAGTTTCTATGGGGGTGACAAACAGGACATAGTCCATATCTTCAATCTTTCAGTCTCCCTAGTGCGGGATTTGTTGCCCCCTACCGCTCCATGTCGTGGACTCTTCCATAGTAGCACATCGTGAGAGGGGTGAGGTTGAGCTCCTAGGTTCCTGCTAATTGGACGGGGGTTGACTGGGCTCCGCAACTCAGCCACTGTCAGCTAGGCATTTCACTTGATATTGCCATTGGAACAAATACTTGGGTGTTTAAAGAAATAACCGCAGATGGGGTACCAATGACGAAAATAGGTAGGCTTGGCTGAGGAGAGCACGTGTATTGTCAAGTACAAAACACAGGAGTACCGTATCATACTGTGATATTTGTGACTTGCGATAACTACGTTCAGGGCATCGCGTCCGTACTACAATGTCTACCGTAGTTCACTCGCGACATAAGCGATCACTCAATTCGTACTGTCCCTTCCCACCCCACCCCCCATAATTTCTCGAACAATATTATGAGAAGTAATCAGAAAGGGGCAAAAAGCAAAACACCTGCGTAAACCCGCAATAGTCATCTATCAACTGCCAATCTATTGGTAGCCCCATCACGGCTATCTAACGCAGATTCAAGGAAGCAGAAAAGATCAAAAGCGGTGGGAACGATCCCGAACCAACTAAATCTTCATCCCGCACGCCCAAGTAAATCTACCTAAACCACCCCTTGACCATCCGCAGCCAACCCATCTTCCTCAACCCGAGTCTATTAACCCCCCACAAACCACCCATAATGCCTCCAACCAGCAGGGCCATGGCAGCAGCATTCAGCCACTTTCTCTGCCGCCTCGTCCTATTGACCACTTCCGTGTACCTAATGTTTGAGAAGCTAACCATGCTGTACATCGTCCTAACGCCCAACCAGGGCACATATGCATACAGCGCCTCCTCAATGGCTTTTCTGAGTAGGTAGGCTTTCGAAGTGACGGTTGCACGCATCTCGATGTGGTTTTGCATCGCAAGTTCGTTAATCATGTGTCCATCCGGCATCCTGTACGCCGAGTACGATGCTAGGGCATAGGCCAGGGAGTTCGGGTGTGCTTTGATGTGCTCAAAGAGCACGCTCACGTCTTCGAAGCCTGCGTTCATGCCCTGGCCGTAGAAGGGGACCATTGCGTGGGCGGCATCACCAACTATTACGCAGCGATCTTTGTAGTGATACGGCCGGCACTGTGGGAGTTAGCTTAGCCTTTGGTAAGTGAGAGGAAGGGTATCTCACCTTAATACTGATCAACGGAAGCTTTTGGTGGTTCAGATACTGCTCCACTAAGCTATCCTCTCCCACAAGATCGACCACTTCCTCAAAGTTCTCCCTAAAGAAGCTGAGCAGATCCTCTCTGCTTTCCCCGATAGTGTCAAATCTCCATTGTTCCATAAACAATGTACAAGTGAAGGTTTTATCCTAAAAAAATTAGCCTCCATACATGGCCCCATATTGGAGGAGGTGAGCACACAATGCTAGGAATAGCAATAAACATAAAGTCCTTCTTCGGCCAGATATGCAAATGATTCGCATCAATCTTAAAGTCACCAGTCTCCTCATCCGGCGGAATCTCGTATTCCTGCCATAGCGTCTCGATATAGACCTGCTCATAATACATACTGCCACAATAAGCACTGAACGACTACCATAATCAAACCCAAACTCACCGAACACTCTTCTGCAGCAACCTTCGAGTAGCAGAATGAGCCCCATCCGCTCCAATAATCAAATCTGCTCGGACCGTAACTCTCTCCCCAGTCCCACTGCTCACAAGTCAGCTATCCAATCACAAGTTACAAGTAGCAGCTAGAGCGAGGCAAACATCTTCTCAAACTCCGCCATATTAGCATCGAGATTAAGCCCCCTCAACCCATGGTAGAAAAACAGCTTAACATCCTTCAACGCCAAAGCGTCCAGAAGCTGGACATTAAGTCTCCCCCGGTCCGCTGAACGAATAAACTGCAAACGCTCACCCCCATTAGCTCCCAGTACCACAACCCCAGCTCACAGAAGACGACGGACAAGACAAACCCTTCCATGGACATCATACTTCTGACTCTCACCCTTCTCACCAGGAACCCCAGTATGTATCATGCGGCCGTACATTGGTATCGTCTCGGCCAGCACTTCATCGAGGAGTTTCCCCCCATCACCCAAATTCCGCAGGCCATTGATTCCACGCTCGGACAGTGCGAGATTGATGCTCTTGCTGAAGTTCAAGGAAAGGTTTTCCGGGAGGCGGAGATCTGCCCAATCCACCCATCCATTAGCCAGCCAACCCAACGAACTAGAAATTCAGGAACAGGGAGAAGAACAAACCACCCCGAAGCTCATAAACCTCTACTTCCCATCCGGCATGCGAAAAGTACAACGCACTGAGAGCCCCCACTGGTCCTGCCCCTACCACAATGACTTTCTTCTTTGAAAAAGACTCCATTTTTATTCCCTTATTTATATTTCCGGGGGTCGTTTGTTTGTTTGTCCTGAGGGAAGAACGCAGAAGGAAAAAGGGTAAGGAAAAAATAACCAGACGATGACGATGCGGGATACTCCGTGCACTATGGTAGCAGTAACTTAAAAGGCGAGAAAGTGCAATTGTATCCGGAGTTATGATAGGGTAATGTGCCCGCAACCGTACTGTAATGAACAAAAGGAGAACAGGGCAGAAGACATCGGTCTGGACCCCAGTTATCTAAGCACTCACCTAACAACAGCTCAATCTCCAACCTCCCACTTGTATGGTCTAACCAGCTGCAAATTTTATAATTATTCCCTCCTTACCCCTTCCACCTCCCTTCATTCATGTATGAGTACCGGTAGTTCCATTATACACTCACCTGTTCCTTACGCGCAATAAACGCTATACTGGTACTGGTGGACCAACTGCCAAGCACAGGATCGAACCAGTCGAGTCTCGGTTTGCAACGGGCTTCTGCATTTTCTCCAACGGTACGATGCCTTGTCCTCTAAAGGAAGGGCGAGAGCGGTAGACTGCCGTAGGCATGAAAAATCGTTTGTGCCGTCCCTTTACCCCTCCGCTATTAGACTATGGGAGAGTGAATGCTCATCCCACACACTAGTCTAAACCAGTCCAGGGCACAGATCGCACAAGTACTGAGTCTTGTTTTTCGTTTTTTTCCCTTTGCAAATCTACCGCCACTACCAATATCAACTCAACTCAGAAGAGCTCAAAGCGCCTGCAGGCTTTGGTGGGATACCGGTACCGGAGTTTTTTTTTACCGTGCTGCACCCGACTGATCACAGTTATCATCATAAATATCGCAGTTCTACTGCTATGTCACACCAAACTATAATGTGTTAAAGTTCATCCCATAGCAGGAGAAGCGGAGAGGGTATGCACCTTATAATATCCACACTTCCGTCCAGCGTCCAGGATCACTAAGCCCACCACGTCCTATCTTAACGCACTACGGTATCTACACTGCTCACTTCTCGACCCCGTGATTACAGTCTCCCACTAGCATGTACGAGTACACCATCTACAAAGCATCGCCCACCATTTATCCAATGGAAGGGGAAGAAGAAGAAAATGCACCAGTGGAGAGAAATTAGATCGCACGAAGATTCCAAACCCAAAAAATCTCCGGGAACCAGGCAGGCAGGCAGGTAGGCACCTAATATATAATAACCCACATACCGTAACACCATCCCGATCAGAGGCCCCACCCAATAAATTAAAATAACTACGTTCCTGGTTTGGGCGAGCGATGATTAATACGATATCGGTAAGATACGGCACCGGTGAATGCTCTCAAAGAGGACCCAAGAGGAGGGGGAAAAAAAATCCGCAAACATCTCACTCCAGGCTTATCGTGACTGTGGCAGGGTTCGAACCTGCGGCCTTCTGCGATTTTCATCGATGTAAAGCAGACGCGCTTCCACTACGCCACACAGTCATTGTTTACCTAATTCACTTGAGGCTATATGATACATTTTAAGTGACACTCACCAGGCAATATCCAATTACCATAGGCTCCAAAATTAATAAACCCCCAAAGTATGAATATATAGCAGTTACAGCAACGCATAATCCGTCTAGTATTCAAGGCCCTAGCTATTTACCGCCTTTCAAACAAAACCCCCACCGCACCTATTTACGCCAGGATATGAATATACAAAAAACATGCCGATCCCCACAAGCTCCTTTTATCGCTTGGCACTCGCCCTGTTTGTCCATCCATCGCCAATACTACGCCGAACGCCCAAAGTTCTTCTCTTCGGGGCCGCCGTCGCCGCCATAGCTACAGCATTTGAATTTATCACGATAGTTGTGTTCCTTGAGTTTGCCGCACCATGTATTACACCAGCCGGCGCTATAGTGGTGGCAGTCTCTTCAACCACAGTGCGTCTTTCCACCCTCGCTAACTCTATATGTCCCGTAAATGGGGCGGATGACACCGGTAGCGGCGAGGAGAGGATTTCTTTCTTTCGCTTTCTCTCGGACGGTGCACGCGCAGGCGACGAACTCAATAACATGACACCACTATGATGGTCAGGTCGGATGGGGAATTTGGGCTGGGGTAGCGCTTCAATTTGTTCCTTAAGATTCTTATTCCTCATCGATTTGTCACTTATGACCTCTGTCGCAGTAGGTACTGCAGGCGAGAAAACCTCTCGCGCCAGTTTCGGCGCCTTTTGCCCGAAATAGCTGAGCAAGCCCCCCTGATCCGCCGGTCTTTTATTCGACCGTGCTAGGGCAGCCGGGCCTCCCCTGATCAGGCCGTCACCTTTATTTGGTGGCCGAGCTATCACGGGACCGCGCCTTTGTTTTTCCTTCTCAACTCGAGCTCTCTCCGCCTCCTGATTTAATCGAGTTTCCTTGAGCTCCTGCATGTGGCTACCCGCACTTTTAAACCCCACCACCACCCCAGGGGGTGGTTTTTCCATCCTCCCCGCAGGCTTCTCCCGAGAAATGACCGGCCTGAATCCTTCGTCTAAAAGCCTATTTGCTTTGGAAGAAGCTTGTTCACTCTGTAGCCTCCTCCCCTTTAATCGCACCCCATCTTCACCAAGACCATCACTCTCGCTGTCAGACTCTGAGGGAACCTTATCAGGAAATTGGTCATCCAATGTGGACGCAATCCCACTCTTATCAACGGCCGTCTGGATCTGAACCTCCGAAGGACACTCCCGGCCAAGAATTCTGCCAACAGATTGGACGGAAGAAAACCCAAGTGTGGGTCCACGGCTGTGGAGAAGAGGATGTATAGAGCGAAGTGCGAGGAATTGCGAGAGCTTCGTCTTGTCTAGTTTAACGATGTTAGTCCGTACTATGCCAGCCCACCGACAAAGCGACAACACCTTTTTGAGAATTCCTCAGAGGACATGACATATACAAAAGTGCCTGTGCCCTAGTCATCGCAACATAGAGTAATCTTCTCTCCTCATCCGTATCTTCTGCCCTCGAATGCGGGATGCTGCCCTGGTAGACTGCTGGGATAAAGACTATTGGCCATTCCAACCCTACACATTTGTCAGTCAAGGTTCCGACAGAGCATCCGGCAAATCCTAGCTACCTTTGGAAGCATGAATGGTGCTAATTGTAACCTGTTCTTGCTTGATAGTTTCGTCATCTCCCTTAACCTCATTTGCTAGTGCTGTATTAGACAAGAACCGATCCAACACCAACTGCAGCCTGCACTGCTCAACCTGACTTTGCGGCAACCCATCAATGTCCGGAAGCATATCCTCATCGTCATCCAACCTCTCCACCTCTTGCGCCTGTGATAGGAGCTCGCTGATGTTAGACCACCTCGCATCGAAGTCTTCGGGATAGCTCCTTCTGAGATAGTCTTCATAGCCTATCTTCCTCATCAAGAATTCCACAACATCCACCAGACTCTTCCCTTGGTTGCCCTCTTCAAGCTGCTTCTGGGTGGATAGAATAATTCCCACAAAGTCACTCAGACCCTTCTCGGCAGCTTTGGAAATCTTCACATCTTTCCAGATACCACCGAGCCCCGCTCTGATAATTTCCCACATGCTCCTAGCCCGTTCGTCGGCCTCATCAAGTAACGCTTTCACCGTTGTATCCCCAACCTTTCTCGTAGGAGTATTAACAATCCTAGCCAGCGCATCATTATTGCCCGGATTCTGCACTACTCTTAGATAGTCTAGAAGGGTTTTAATCTCCACACGATCGTAAAACCTCAACCCCCCTACCATCTTGTATGCCACTCCGGCTTTCACAAAGCCCGTCTCGATATTTCTTGTCAAATTCGCGGACCGCACGAGAATGGCAATATCACCAAGCTCCACCATGCCCCCAGTCATAGCTCTAACCCTCTGAATCTCCGAGACTATCCAACTTGCCTCCAAAAAAGCGCTCGGAATTCTTCTCAAAACCGGCCTAGTCCCCACCGCATGTGTGGGAGTAAGGGGCTTCTTCGGGCGATCATGATCCTGCTCGATCACCTCCAAGGCAGCTAGCAAAATACTAGCAGAACTCCTATAATTCTGCTCAAGGTGAACTACAAGCGTCTGCGGGTAAGCTCTAGCCATCCTCGACAGGTTACGGATTTCTGCAGCCCGGAACCCATATATGCTCTGGTCCGGATCCCCAACAATTGTAATCCGTTCATGCTTCCAGGCAAGTAGCTTCATTAATTCAAACTGGACCAAATTCGTATCCTGAAACTCGTCGATAAGAACCGCTTGCACGTTACTAACGCATTCCGGGTTGTGCCTGAGAAGCTCGAGACACCGAAGTAGCAGGTCGTCATAGTCGAGCAAGTTTGATGCCTCCAAAGCCCCCTGGTAGTCCTCGAAAATCTGAACGAAATCCTCGGCAGAAATGTCCCTTACCTTAGCCTGCGTAGGCTGCACCGCCGCGGTCGAAGGGGGCGGTAGAGCATTTGCCGCCGGAGAGCTATCTCGGGCTTTGAAATGGGATATCCGGGATCTAACCTGGCTCGGATCCAATGGCGATTTCCTCCGTTTGATTATCCTCTGCGGCACAAACATCAGTGCTCGCGCCCTCCCTCCCAAGAAGCCACAACCCACCTTGATAATTCCCAAACTATCACCGGAATCCGCAATTCCCCACCCGGTCTTGATGTCCACCAGATGCCCATACTTTACCAAGTACCTCCTAGCTATGCTATGGAAAGTACCCAGCACCAGCCGGCCTTCCACTCCATTTCCAACGAGGTTCGATATCCGCTCCTTCATCTCCCGAGCAGCTTTAACGGTGAAAGTAGCCACAATAACATTTCGGGGATCCAACGACTGGGGAGGACATAGCAGCCATGCAACGCGAGACGTCAATGTTCTAGTTTTACCGGAACCAGCTATTGCTCGGTCAGTCCAGAGCATCCAGGAAGGAAGATAAAAAGGGTATGGTACGTGGGGCAAGTATCTGTACCACAGACGACGGGTTCGTCACCGCTAGTCGTTGGGCATTATTCAGTCCGACGAGTATCGGCTCAAGATCCAACTGTGATGCCCTGAAAGACATGGCACCAAGTCGTCTGGACAAGCAAATTTAGGGGCGGTCGGAATAGGAGAGGAAAGGAAAGGAAAGGAAATCTGTAAAGTTTGCTCAAGTTCAGAACGTCATCTCCGGAGGATCGCCCATGTGGACGCGTTCTGCTTGGCTAAAAATCAAGATCACGTGAGTGGCACACAAAGTACGAGTACGGCACGGCACGGTACCGGTATCAACCGCCATCATCCCCAACCCAAAACCCCCGATTCTATGATAATTCTTGGTCTTCGAGGAAAAGAGGGGAAAAAAAAAACCCCTTTATAGACATGCTAAGAAACAAGGTACAGTATCAAGTAATACCATGGACCAACAACCACGAAGAAACCCAATCCCAAAAAGGAGAGAAAGAAAGCCCACAACGCCCCAAACAACCCGTGGCCACCACCACATCCAGTTGCCGATATAATGCACCCGGTCCAACTAATCCTCCAGGCGCAAGCAGCACACGACCAAGCCAAGCCTTCCCACTTCCATACGGCGAAATCTTCCGACGAGGCAAGCACCAAGAGATATCCGAGCCCTAACTCTTCATAGCACAGTCCAAGCAGAGTCTCGCACCATCGCCAAGAGAGATGGAGCAACCACTCTCGCAAACCCTCCTGGAACATGCCCCGCACCTCCCTTCCTCATCCATCCCTGAAAACCCACTCAACTCCATAGGTTGGTCACAATCCTCGCACGAGGCCATTCCTTCGGGAGCTTGCGATGACGCGGCCACCGACGTGCTAGACATTAACTTGGAAAACGCGGCACTATTGCTCGATAATGGCTTCGTATGTGCCATCACGTCAAACGGATTAACCCGTTGAGGAGCAGTGAGGACGCGTTGGCCTCTGCCTGTGGGTGTTGTGGAGTTGGCGTTGTGGGCTGATGATTGAGTGTGTGTGGCCTTGAAGAGGTTCGACGTGGGAGGCGTGTGCGATGGCTGCGAGCTCTGAGCGGAAAACAACTTTTGGAGGGTGTACTCTGTGATCGTCAGGTTAGCCTAGTTATTCATGCAAGTGGATGATATATATCACACCAGCCGTGACCATGCCACGGAATGCCCAAACCCCGGCGCCGGTAGAAACCCAGTTGTGGAGGCTTACGGTATACTTCCTCCTCACGAGGCTTTCCATTCCTCCACCTCTTCATCGTCCTGCCAGGTTGCAGCTCCATCGTTCCCTGCAAGTGGAAGCACCCAGAATCGTCGGGTGAAAACGATTCATCCATGGGGCGTTTACGCTTCGAGGTCGCTGGCGCGAAGGCAGGTGTGCAGAGAGAAGATGCCATCATCGTGCGATCCCGTGGGAGACTTGGTTGAACAGTACCGACGATTATTCGCAACCTTGAATCCGACGATGTTCTGAAACAGAGTCACCGTAGGCCGGCACTGTAACGTGTGAAGAAGGGGGGGGTTCGTTATCTCAACGCGTTTGTGCGGGAGCAAACGACGGAGAACGCGTGAAGGATTACTGGTACCGTAGATAGCGGTACCGTACCACACCAGCCGGAACCCTGAACAAAATGCAGCTAGCGCGTCGCCTTATCTCCAAGGTGTGGCTGCACTCCAGTCCTCCAATTTCCCTTTTCATCCCCCCGCGGCAGTCGGCGTTGTGGTACTAGTACTCGGGTACTCGTACGAGTACTCGAGTACAGTATTTTCCCCAGCCACTGCAAGGCGCCAAATGGCGCGCAAACCGCCGATTTAAGCTTCAATTACCCGAGCGCATGAGACTTTGGCTCCCCTCTAGCCAAAGAATGCGAGAGACCCCACCTACTCGAGTACCGTACCAGTCAGTGCTGTGAGGACCCGCCAGCGCTAAGTGCCTAGTCACGAGCCTGACCAGGGTCAGTGACGGGTGGTCAGGAATAAGAAGTGATGGGGGTGATGGGGGTCACCAAGGGCTTGGCACCCCACTATGAGTACCGGTACCTGCTATCATACGATATTGTACCGTACTCGTAGTTATTTATGATACAGATTAAGAATTTTAGCCCTAACCCTTCTCTCCCCCCCTCGCACCCCATCACGATGATCGGTCCCGACCCCCATCACCTTTCAACATGGGTGACGGGCCAAGTAGGATTTTGGGGGTGACCACCCCGTCACTCACGACACTGGTACCAGTTACCTGGCCAAGGCTCCTTTCAAGGTCAAAAATGCGCCTATGGCGGAGCAGCCTACCGTACTCTTGATATGATATCATCAGCGGCAACAAAGTCCCAAAATAGGGCATCATATCAGATAAGCCCTTTTTTTTGTTCTTTTTCTTCCTTCCCCCAGTGGGCACAGTATCGTACCGCCGGGAGCCACATCGCCACACCCAAACAGACCTCTCCCCTCCATATTTTCGCAATTTCTCCGCCGACGACAAGTCCTATGCAAGTTTCCGCCGGAACCCCACACGAGAGGCTATTCGCTTAGCTGCGGTGCGGAATGCCGTCATTGGCTCACCCACTCCTACCGGTATGATGCCGTACGATGCCGCGGTTCCTCTCGAGACTAGCGATCGAGTGAGGGTGTGTGCTGCACGTTTCCTAGGTAGCTGAGACGGTGTCGTAGTAATAATATCATTACATCCTATTGAACCTGGGATGCTAAACATCGCTATCATGCGCTTGTACGATGACCATCTGATCCCATTTTAGGCGAGAATTTATCGCACTCTTCACAATCGCCTCTACCTCTCTCGGAATTACTCCGACACAGGATATGGGCCCGAAGTAGTAAAAAAGGAAAAAGAAAAAAACATTGACTTCTAGGTCATTCTCGATCACTCGATATATTATTCGGCCTATAATAGGAGGAGTATTTTGCTTGGAAGAAAAAAAATCCGCTTTCACGGGGGCTACCGGCTGGTTGTCCGTGTATCTCCACGGATGTTTTTTTTTTTTCTTACCAATCCGTGCTGGGGGGATCCTTGAAGGTACCGAACCCGTACGATTACGAGCCCACTGTGCCTGACTCCCATCGGTGCTCGTGAAAACCGCCCAAACCGGCATGTTGGTTCAAGTAGTGGGATCGGGTCTCACGTGTTAGAGTAACCCACAAACATCCCGCAAGGCCTCTCTGTGGAAAATGGGAGAATGAAAAAAACGAAAAGTATCATCGTCTCGTGATTGTAGTACGTACGCTGTCTCATTCCCGGTCATACCACCAACCGATAGCGCCCTGGACAGGAATTTTCTCGGTATGCTGGTCAGAAGAAATGTTATCGGCGTCACTTTTGTTTGCCGGATATGGCACTGGGCTAAACCCAGCATCTGGCCTTGAATGTGCGTTGCGTACACCCCCAACGTCCGATTAACCTCCTCGCCTTGAGCTCGAGCGGTGCAGTATCGTGACTCTTACCCATACGTGACGTGGCACCCGCACCGTACTTTTGGGGGAAGAAGAAAAAAAAGAGATGATCTCCACAGCACTGGATTGGATCGCACAGGAAGACGTCCATCTATCCTACAAATCACAATAAGCGGTGCGCGGCCCCGACTCCATAGCAGGCAACCCCCACGTGTGCCATCTCAAATTAACGAGTGATACATCATGACAAGGAGTTTGACCGCCGACGCCACCGTTATTCGCCACACCACCGGGAATCAGCGAGTATTCCATCACACCCTACCCGTATTCGTTCGCGTGAGATAGCATCCAAACCGGAACAGCAGGTGCATAGGGCAGTCAAGCTCCCTTTTGCCCTATCATACCTTCTTCTTCCTCACCCGTTCAAGGAGTACCAGTAGGGTCTGGGGGAAGGCATCACTTGAGGGGAATGGCGGGACTGTATTGGCGGTTTTGCTTGGCGGGGGCGGTGGTGGGATTCTAAACATTCTGAGATGATTACTTCCAGTCCACCCCGGTCCCCTGTCTGCCAATGCTAAGGATGGTATCAGACGTGTTTTGGGGTTTCTCTCGATTCCCGTGCCGCAGGGTACTGTAACTCTATACGGTGTGGTGATGGGGATTATGGAATGGTGTTGTGAAGGTTTGGCTTAACCTACAGTGTTATTCAGTTATGAGCATCGTATACCAGTCCGGTATGATGATAGTCCTGGGATTCTTTGCGGTGCGGCAGGGTAAGTTTGTTATGGTACAGCTTGCGTCATGCATGTATCATAGGCCCTCGGCCGTTCGGGCGCTCCGACAGGGTGGGTGAGGGGAGGAAAGGAAAAGGCACGGGAAAATTACTCCACTCGCACGATACCGGTATGGTGCAAAGAGCCCAAAGGCGGGTCCTCCGGTGGAAGGGCATTTCCGTTGCAACCGACAGGGTTTGTGCCAAGAATTGCCAAGAATTGCTGAGTAGGATGAAAATTTATATGGTATTATGAAGTATGCTACATTTTCACTAGTTTATAGTATTAGGATAAAAGAGTCTTGTAATGCTATTACAATATGTAGGCCCACCCCAAGGTGAGAGGGGAGTATTAGCTATTGAATTTCTGTGGTTCTGAGGAGATCTGTGAGCTGGAGAGGTCTTGTGCCAGTATATATATATATAACAATATATTTATATATGTAACAATATTCTCAAAAGTTAATCAATAGATATTGTTGTTCTTTTTACCAGAAATTGAAGCAATATATCCTACATAGAGGCAATAACAACTTCAATGGTTAGAAATTTTATTTTCCTGTATGCAAGCTTGAAATAGGTAACACATGAGCTTATAAAATATCACGATTGCAGAATAGCATCTATGTAGATCCGGTACATTGGACCTTTTGTCTGACTACTTGTATGACTATTGCCCCTACCCCTTTGCCACTACCTAATCCATATCAGGAAACGTATCATCAACCCGGCGGCGCAAGTACAGTGCTCGAGCATCGTAGACTACTACGAGATACTCGTGATTCTCAGCCAGGATTTGGCACCTCATCTGTCCTAGCTCGGGACGCCAGCTCTTTTCCACCAAAGGGGAATAGTTTCTTAGTAGTGTGGAACAAGCGCAGAGGCCCAACCCTTGGAGGGAATAGTTGGTGAATGGAGTTGCCACAAATTCACTGAAGTTCACAGGTATCTGGATCACGGCATGCACTGTTTTGCTCCGAAGAGTTAGATTCCCATACTCGCTTCACACTACTGGTAGGCTATGCCCCTTCAGTAGAGAAGAATTTGTGCCAACCACTAGGGCAATTGGCGTGCCAAATCTTGGCTGAGAAGCACGAGTAGAGGATAGTACAGGTACGTACTCGTAGGAATCAGTAATGATCAATCATTTCATCAGCGAAACCGGAATCTAGCGACGCGGCATTTGGAAAGCCCCCATCCGTGTGATTGTAGTCAGCGCCAAGGAATTGATCTGCAAGTTTATCAAGGATATTCTGTGCTACGGTACGACGGTTGGTGCCAGGACCGAACTCTCCCAACTTAAATTAGCGGCAGGCGTGGACTACGGTGGGGGCACAAATACCGATGCCGGTATGGGTTGAATTGTGTGAGCTGCCTGGGTCTCTGGTGTCGCAGCTGGAGGTTTGCAATCAGCGGTTTTTCGGCGATAATAACTTGGGGGCGAGTTTTTTTTTGTGTGTGTCGGTTGTGATATTCCTACCCGCTATTGACCGCCGTACCGTGAGAACTCGGGTACCGGTACCGGTAGGGGATAAATGCACCAGGACGTTGGAATTCCCGCTCTCGGCCCGCCCCAAGGGAAAACACCGCGAGCTCAGCCTTCAGTTGGGACAGAACAAAAGGAATACCGGTATGCACGGTGCCTTTCTGGGAGAGGCTGCCGCAGGCATGCAACGTCCTGGCACATTCTACTTGTATCTTCTACCGGTATCCGAGCTTTTACGGTGCCGTACCAGTATATATGGTACGAACTTTAGGCACGATACGCACTTCGGCAACCAGGTGTCCGGGCACCCGAAATCCCCGTAGGGGTAAACGATGTCGCTGGACTAAAGGTAATTATGTTAGGATTGAGACGCGACCCCACCCTCAAATATCAGCACCGAGAGTAACTTTGCGTCATCAACATCGGTCTGTTGGTGTGGTGTAGGAGAACAATTAGAAACACATGGTATCACTCCGTTCCTCCATTAGCACTATTCTCGTATCACAGCGGTCTTCAAAATGCTCTGATATCGACCAAGTTTCCCGGTATTGAAACGGTGCCGGTATGCCTCCGATATTCGTGCCACGCTTGCTCTAGATTAATTGTAACACCTAGTGTATTGTATCCACGATCAAGTACTTTGTACGAGCGCAGCAGGATACGGTAGTTCGTGGTAGTCAAGTGGCGTGGAGGCAGGAAGGAAATTGGGTCACCGGAATTGGGATTGTTGAGCTGGGCTCGTGGCCGTACCATACCTTGGGCGGGTGATTTGTGGTGGAGGGTTGAATATTGCGGATACGAGTACGGTGATGGGACGGCACGATCCGGTGGGCCGCACGAATAGTGCTGGCGGTCAAGATCCCCCCCCCACATGATTCAAAAAGGCACATATGTCGTCCATCGTCGCTATTCTCCATCTCCTCTAAGGTATGATAGGATTTAGTTAGTGGTCGAGTTGGGTGGCCTTCATCGTCATTCAGTGACGAATTTCGCCTTTGCGGTGGTCGGAGTATTTGAGGAAGGCATCCACTTGACTTGTCGGGCTAAGGGCCGATGGATAGGTCTTTTTTTTTCTTTTTTCCCCTCGACCTTGCGTGGTGGAGGATGGAGGTTTTAGGCAAACAGTATTGATATCAAAGTGATGCTGGAATCCAGAATCCGGCACCGGTATTTCCATGTGCTGCCTGTTCAATCAAGAGACATGTGGAGGGGAGGGACGCGTGGATCAGGTCAAAAGCGGAGAAAGTTTGTGCATCACGGATGATTTGATTGGTTGTTTAATGTGCGGTTACCGGAATTCTTTTAATTCAACCCTGGAGCGAGACGTGTTGAGAATTCGACCCATGTTTCAATTACCCTTTACGGCCAAGAGTTGGCCCAGGAAGAGGGTGTTTTGGCCAATCAGGGGAGAAATAGGAGGTCGAGATTACTAACAAAGCTCTAAAAGGGGAAGGGATGGGAGCTTTTAGTTCTATTTCGACCCCTGCCGCGCGTAGGATGGTGGTGTCTTGGGGGGTTGCGTATGCTACCAAAAAAGGGAAAGGTTTTGTTGCTCACAAGGGAAGGGGATTGGATTTCGAGATCAAGAGATGGAGAAAACAGCTCCTTCGGAGGAGGGAATCGGAAAGTGGATGGAGAGAGACAGGAAGATAGTCTAGACACGGGGGCAAATCGAGAGGAGGGGATCAAAGACAGAGAAGAGGCGGGGACCCGTGAAGGCGTAGCCAATTCGTCTACAAGGTCTTGTTGCGTTGCTTCATCTGACTTCTTGGTTTCTCGCCTTTTTCTTCGCTGGATTCGGTTCGGTGGTTGCGTGTCCTGCCTCTGGTGGTGGCACTGTTCCCTCCCTTTTTATTCCAACCCGTCATCCATCATCCATCCCAGAATTTCCTCACTTTCTCCCATCCCCTTCCCATTTCTTCCCCGGCCAGCAAATCCTGGCAGGTTGCTCGCTCGCTGCATTTCGCATCGCCGCAATTTCACACATACCGGTACGCTCTTCTCAAGAGTACGAGTACATGATATACCGGTGCTCGCACTCTCAGATTCCCCTCCCCCCCCCACCCACCACCTCACAGCAATCCGTCATATTTTTCCCTTACCGGCCCTCGCACTCCTCTCTCCCTCCCTCCTCACATTCGCTGACACCCGCCGAGAAGAAGCAGGAGCAGCGAGAGAACGAAGCGAGAGCAGAAAAGCCCCCCCGCCTCGAAACGCTGTAGAAATAACTTCGCCCCAGCGACCTTCTCTCCCACATTCGTGGTAGCTTGCTCCCGTTTCCTTCCTTTTCAAGCGTTACATTTGTTTGTTTTTTTAATTTTTCTTTTTAATCGAGTCGGTGGAGAGAATTAATTTTTCGAGACTTCTCCCTACCTCTCCTCCCGAGGGATCGTCGCTGTCTTGAGCGTCGCGGCTTCGGTAAGCCAGAAAAGGGCGAGCAAGCAAATCCGGCCCAGTCCAGGTCGTTGCCAAAAGAAGCCGCGAGTTGTCTGTGTGCGTGCGTAAGCCTCCCGCTAACGCTACACTCCACCCCTACTACACCCACCCACCCACACACCCACACCCACACCCACACCGTACTCACACACAGTGAAGGTGTAGGCACTCCCCAAAACCTTACTCCTCCCTCTTCTCCTCCATCCAACCCTTCGCTGCCCACGAACTTGCCGCTCGCTCCTTCTGTTGCTGCCCCATCGATAGGAACGATACCCCATCTATAATCGTTAACCCTTGCCTGGTCTTCACCGTTCCGGTTTTCATTCCTTAGCCACCTCTCCCCACTTCCACCTTCTTTTACAACAAGCGACCGGCACGGAACAGCCCTTCTCGAGCGAGCACGATTTCAGTTACCGTTTTGCTGGTTGTCCCTGAGATCGCCCACCACAATAATGTCGAATCCCCCACCGCCTTCTGAGGATCCTGTGGCATGGGCCAAGCACCTGACGGGTGCTTTCGCTGACGCTCTCCACAAGAAGCGTGCCGAGTGTTTAACAAAACAGACCCGTAATCTTTCCCTGAGTTCGCCTCCATCACGACCTCCACCACCGATACCCTCCGATAGTTCATCCTCATCGAGATCCTGTGTGCGTCCTGCAACACCTTCGAGCTCTTCGTCCTCCTCGTCACAGCCCAGTCTTCGTAAAGCGAAGTCCAAGTTCACTCTCTCTACATCCTCTTCTTCTAGGTCACAAGAAGTCGGGCCCGACGGATTACCAGCATATACAAGATCGGGAGCGACAAGAGAGTCACATCCACCGGAGGATGTCGCGTCGCTAAAATTTAGGGGGCAGTTGATGCTACTTGCAAACACCCCAGCGAGATATGAGAATCCGGGATTGTTGGATGAAGCACTCACACTGATTCCGCTGAATAGGATATATGCAGAGGCTGAGGAGGAGAGTCAGATGTATGAAGCAGAGGCTAGGAGTTTGGGGAAGGAGCGTGGAAAGTGGGGTTATCAAGATTGTGTCATCATGGCTTTGTTAAGGTGGGTTCTGAATACCTTTTATTCCCCGGTTTCTCTTTGTTGGGCTGGGCTGCTGCTGGGCGGCTGGGCAGTGTTTGCGGGAACCTACGTTGGTGATGTATTAGCGGGTAATGTGCGGAAAGTCTCCGGGTTTGGTGGCGGGGGGCACCGGGGCTGGAGAGGGATTGCTGCGCATGTGTGGTGGACGGAACCTTTAATTAATGATATATATATATACGGTCGGGTCTTTACTAACTTTGGATTTGTTATTTCATAGATGGTTCAAGCGTGATTTCTTCACTTGGATTAACAACCCATTATGCCCTGTTTGCTATTCGGAAACCTCGCCCGAAGGAATGACACAACCATTGCCCGATGAAACTGCTAGAGGTGCCACTAGGACTGAATTATTCAAGTGCACGAATGCGAGATGCGGCACTTATGAGCGTTTCCCCCGATATAGTGACGTTTGGGCGTTGCTCAACACTAGAAGGGGAAGGTGTGGAGAATGGGCAAACTGTTTCTCGATGCTGTGTAGAGCGGTGGGGAGTCGTGTCCGTTGGGTGTGGAACAGCGAGGATCACGTAGGTTATGGCCGGCTGGAAATCACACTAATTATACGTTTCTAACTCCCTGTTCCTAGGTTTGGACTGAGGTCTACTCGGAACATGTCAACCGGTGGGTTCACATCGACTCCTGCGAAGAGGCATGGGATAAGCCGAGGTTATATGCGGAAGGTATGGCTCTCTCCGTCAATTATAATGTTGAATAGTGGTTTACGTGTCTTAGGCTGGGGTAAGAAAATGGCCTACTGTATTGCGTTCTCCCACGATGGAGTTACAGATGTCACCCGCCGCTATGTTCGGCTCCAGAAATATGCACTTCCTCGAACAAAGTGTCCCGAAGCGGTGCTGGTGCATATTCTTAATGAAATTAGGACAATGAGAAGGGAACGGTTGAGTCCTTCCGACATTAAGAGGTTAGAGAAGGAGGATTATCTGGAGGAGATTGAGTTTCGCAAATTCGAATGGCAAGCTCTGGAGGCCGAAGCAACAAAGAACGGCGCCCGTAGGACTACGACCCCAGGGGAGAAGCGTCCAAGACAGAGTGGTTAGTTATCTTTGGATGGTATGGATGATGGCCAACGGTTTTGACTAACAATATATTTCTATATAGGCACCACTGATTGGAAGCATCGCAGAGGAGAAAACGGCATAGCATCTGAGACTGTTTCGCCATTAGACGCACCCGATGCTAGGATGATGGAACATGATGGGCACTGATTGGGGCCAAACACCTCGGCGGCATAACCTTGGAGACTGGCGTTGAAAAAGAAAGAGGCGGGGGTTAGCATTGATGAGGAGTTTTTCATTTTTAGTCTCATTTACCTCGGTATCCCCTGGATGACGGGCGACCTGTGTCTGCGGCAGACCTTGTTGCCACTATGTTTGATTTTATGACGGGAGCAACAACGGTTGGGTCCAGTCTTGTTAGAGTTGTGGGGAAGTGAAGGGTACCAGTGCTTCTTGTATGAATGCACGAGTCATAATAACATTAGGGTATTCAAGGGGGGGGGTTTCATGTATGAATTTTTTGTTCACGGCGTTCTCGACGGTCTGCCTCACGGATTTTGGGTGGATTAGTTTTTTCTCTATTTTTTTTCTTCCTTCCCCTCTTTCCCTCCTCTTTCCCCTTACTTTTTTTACATGTGTACTGGCAGCGACAGGGCCGTTGAGCGTTGATGGGGCCCTAACTTCTGTCTGGGTATATTTATTTCTTTGCCGTTGTTGAGGTTGGGGAGCGCATCATTCTATTTGGGTAACTACCAGTTCCTAGGAAAAGGTCTCGCCGAGCGCATTTCCTAACTGGCGGGATATTCATACCTTTTTATATAATCCTCTTTCCCTATATCATTTCCTTTTTTACTCATTTCCACCACCTATCACCGCTACCTTTACCTCACCTTTACCCTCTTGTCCCCATCCTCAGCACTCTCTGTATCATCTTCATTTTTCAAGGCACA